TAGGTAGGTAGGTAGGTAGGTAGGTGGAGAAAGAGAGACAGACAGACCGGTAGGTAGGTAGGTAGGTAGGTAGAGGGAGAGAGAGAGAGAGAGAGAAACAGACAGACCCATAGGTAGGGAGGGAGGGAGGGAGGGAGGGGGAGAGAGACAGAGAGACAAACAGACAGACAGACCTACCTTTGTTATGAACACGCTGGTGATACTCTCAGGATTATCGCCTTCAGGATTGGGGGGGCCCAGAAGTTGCTCCCCTTCCCCCTTTTCAAAGCTGTACAGGAAAGCAGGATTCAGAATGTACTGCAGAACCTACCAGCCAAAGGAAAGACCAACAAAATAATGATAAAAACCTGCCCAGGTAACCCAAAAGGGAGTCAATGACCTACAATATTAGGAAGACAACGCCTATGTAGATATCAAAGCTCCATGCAGATCCATCTTGAACTTCAGGCAGGAAACCCTATACCGGGGGGGTCTTCAAACTTGGCCCTTCTATGACTTGTGGACTTCAACTCCCAGAATTCCTCAGCCAGGCGTGCCTCACCTTGGCCTTCAGCTCATCGCCGAAATTGAGGTCGCTGAAGTCGACGAAGCGGAAAAACAGCGCCCGCTTTTGGGCAATGGTGTAGTTTTTGGGGATGTCCTCCTCCATGTACTCCTTCAAGAAGGTCAGGTTGCAGAGGAAACGGCCCGTGAAGGCACGGAGAAGCTGGAACAGCAGCTCGATGTCGTTGTAATTTCTCCTAAGGATTAAGAGGGGAAAGCCAGACGTGAAAACACGCAAAGCACCACAGGCTCCCCTTGTGCGGAAAAGGGGAGGAAAGGGAGAAGGGAACGGAAGGGACGGGAAGGGGAAGGGGAGGGAAAAGGGAGGGGAGGGGAAGGGGCGGGAAGGGGAAGGGAAGGGGAAAGGGAAAGGGAAAGGAAAGGGGAAGGAGAAGGGGAAGGAGAAGGAGAAGAAGGAGAAGGAGGAGAAGGAGAAGGAGGAGAAGGAGAAGGAGAAGGAGAAGAAGGAGAAGGAGAAGAAGGAGAAGGAGAAGGAGAAGGAGGAGAAGGAGAAGGAGAAGGAGAAGGAGAAGAAGGAGGAGAAGGAGGAGAAGGAAAAGGAGGAGAAGGAGTAGGAGTAGGAGAAGGAGTAGGAGAAGGAGAAGGGGAAGGGGAAGGAGAAGGGAAACCATGACCTGGAGGACTGAGAACCTCCACAGACATTCAACACAAGAGACGCACTTGCAATAATTCAACAAGCAGTAGGCCAGAAGTTTGGGCTCCTTCCAGTTGGTAGCCGCCATGTTCTCCTTCCGGTGCCTCTCTTGGAAAGCGTCGCTGACCCAGGCTCGCCTCAGCTGGCTCACCAAGGAATGCTGGTTTGCCAGCCAGCATTCATCATTCTTAACGATGATACTGATGATCTGTTGAAGAAAAAGAAAAAAAAACCAAGGACGGCCGCTATGTAAATTGCCTTCAGCAGGTGATTAGTTATTGTCCATTTAACGTTTCCATTTGGCGGGGCCATTTGCAAACTGGAGACGCTTGGAAAGTGGACCAAAACACAAAACACTTCAAGCCCCACAAGAGACGATGGGAGTTCGCGAAGGTGGCTGAATTGACTCTGCTTTGATTAAAGAAAAAAATATATATATAAAGATTTTTGTTTCTACTTGGAAACCATTTCTGGACTTTGTGCTTGAGGTGGGAAAAAAATGAAACTTTGATTTTGGGTTTTTACCGATTAGAAAGCTTTCCTTGTTCTAGAAATGGCTCGTTTATAATGTTGTATAAAAGTAAAAAAAAAAAAAAAGATGTTTAGATGTTTTATTCTACTGCGCGAGAGGGAGTCGGAAGTCAACACGTGTATTTTTTTTCTTTTTTTTCCCCCTGCTGGGAATTCTGGGAGTTGAAGTCCCCAGGTCTTAAAGCTGCCAAGGTTGGAAACCCCTGGTCTACAGCTAGCAAAGCCCCCGAAATCCAGGTGGGTACCTTTTATTTAGCATCCTACGTTGAAGGGAACAACCGTACCTTAATCGCTTGAAACTGGAGGTCCAGCCGCATGGTGCTGGCACTGGGGGAACCGGGCCGAACCGCTGTCTGGGTCCCGCCAGGTAAGAGCAACGTGATGAAACGGTTGGGGTTTGCTGCCAGGACATCCCGTAAAGGCTTGGCGTCTTTGTGTTTTAAAAAACTCTGTGGAGGTTTATTTTGGGGGGAGAAATGGAGAAAAAAATAAATAAAAACTGCTTGGTGAGGAGAGCCATCCAACG